CGCGGCTGACGGAGCGCGGTTGCCGGATCGTGACGTATACGTCACAAACTTAAAGAAAATCAAATATTTGTAGAAATTAAAAATTTATAATGTTGCTTTCGTGTGATATGTTCTGAAACAGCGAACGATGCTCAGTGGCACTTTGCATGTCGGACACCAATACCGAGAGTCTTTTCTAATTTTGTTTTTATAACAAATAGAACATCTTCAGGGTGGATTTTTTGTTGTTGAAGTGTCTGGTATGTAATCCGTGAAATGTTTGTCGATCAAAGGTGAAACATTGGATGTCATTGGGCGAGGTTCTGATGATTTTTGTGATTCGATGGGATACGATGCAACTGTATCCTCAATATATTCTAATAAAAAGTTTACTCTGTTTAATTTTCCACCATTTTTTTTATAAATTAAATATGAATTTAAATACATAACATCTAAAAGGTGGAGAAATATTTTTTTATAATATTTCTTTAACCTTTTTCTTGCTGTTGAGTATGCAATAATTATGCCATCACTTACATCCACTCCACCCATTTTATTATTGTAATCGACAACTACTTCGGGTACTTTTTTGATCACGTTTCTTTTTTCTATCTCTACGATGTTATCATTATGGACGCTACTTACAAGATAAATTTCCCTATTATCTTGCCATTTCAATAACATAATCTTGTTTTTATATTTTGCAATATATTCGCCTTTTTTGATATGCGTTTCTCTAACTTCTTTACAAATGAGAATTTTGTTTTTTCGAATTGTGCCAACAACGTCCGTTTTATGTGCACACAGTGTCTCTATGAGTGGAATACTAGTGTACCAATTATCTAAATAAAGTCTAAATCCACGTTCTAAAAGTTCATCGCATAAATGAAGGACAATACGAGCTGAAATGTTAAATTCTGAATACCGTGGACCATAATCGGTTTCTTTTCCTGTATATATATAAAAATTCCAGATATAACTTAATTCACTCTCGTATAGCACGAAAAATTATATGCCAAACCGACTTCTTTTTGAAGGTATATATTGCTTCCATGATAACCGCCCCTTCCACATTAGCAACAATTCATCAATGCAGATATCCATTTTTGGAGTATACAAAGATTTACATTTATCTACTACATATTCCAAAACATTTTTAATTTTCCAAAGCTTTTTCGATTGCATATTATTGTGGTGTTCGTTATTTTCAAAATGTAGAAATTTGCATAATAGCAAAAATCGGTCCACAGAGAAAATTTTGGCAAAGAACGGTGTACTAATGGTTTCCCTTTTCGAAAAGTACATCTGGAGTGCTGGCTTCTTTACAATACCTTGCAAAACCAACATCGCGATAAAACATCTAATTTAATTATTAGTTGTTGGATACCATTTTCTCATTCTTGATCGCGGCTTTAGGTTCGGGTGACTTTGCAAAAATTGATCCGCATATAAATTTGTTTCTTTCACTATAAGGTTGATAAGATTATCGTCTAAATATTGTTCTATATAACATGAACACTTGAATCGCAATCTTCTTGGTACAATTTCATTTTGACCATGATTAGCAAGAAATTCAAATGGTTCTCTGTTGCCGCCTGTACTTTTCCACACATTTGGATCTTCATTTTCTTTGTCGCTTTTATTGTCTTCCGAATAGGTGTCATCGGATTCATTGCGGTCAGTTTCACTATCAGACTCGGTGCTTTCATCGCTAACATCTTCAGAAGACAAAAATATATGCAACCGTTGTCGCTTTAGTACAGGTCTAATAATGTCATCGTCACTGGAGGAATCACCCATTTTGGGGATAAAATATGCTAAGAATAAAAAAAATAGTAGTTTACGAAACTTTTCTGGATAACTTTATGATAATTAGGCACTTGAAATA